AGAATGGAGCTGGAGACAGCATCCTGCAATCCCAAATAAAGAATGATTGACCGGTAGGAAAACAGGGTGGGGAATTTTCCCGCAGACTTTTTTGGGGGATTTTCCCAGGGTCTCTTATCCGTGGGATTTAAAATTATGAGTTTGGTGGCCCCTGAGCTCCAAAAAGTTGGCGACCCCTGATATAGAGCACAAGAGGGCAATTTCCCATCCTCTCTTTGTCCAGGAAGTTTCTGTGCAACCAATCTACTTGCCAGTTCTTTGTTCCTAGCCATCACAGAGATATCTTAACTCACCATTTCTCACGAGGAAACTCTAGTGACCTCTTTATTTAACATCTACATGAACTATTCTTCTGCCTTAATATTCTGAGACCATCGTCTGTGAACTGTCCTTAAATATCACATTTCGGTTCTTACTATGTTACAGAACCCCTGATTATGACATTGAACATGCAAACAAGCTAAATACACTACTAACATCCTGCCCACACACTTTTATCTTTCTTGGTGATTTCAATCTACCTCATATTAACTGGACCCTTAACAAATGTACAACTGAACCCACACATGCAACCTTCTACAATGCAGAAACAAATCTGGGACTAGAACAACTAGTAACCAACAACACTAGACTTAACAACTGCCTCGATCTCATCTTCTGCAATAGTTTGAATTCAATTCACGGAATACAAATTAAAGAACCCTTTTCCAACAGTGACCACAATATGATTGACTTTTGTCTCAACATACGTCCACACAAAAATCATCACAATGACGGAATCCCCAAATATAACTTCAAAAAAGGCAACTATGATCTTATAAACAACGATCTCTCATCCCTTGATTGGCAATTTCTATTCTCTGGATGTAATACTGTAGAAGACCATTACAACATATTTTTACTTGAAGTCAAAAGAGTCATCAAACTATATGTACCATTAACTCCCAAAACCAGAAAAAACAAATTATCCATAACAATTAGGAAGCTTCAATTCAAAAAGAAATCACTTTGGCGGAAAAACAAAACTGGTCACGTTACCAACTTCAAAAGCCGATACAAAAATTTATGCCACCAGATAAAAACTGAATGCACCAATTATCACATTAAACAAGAAGAAAACCTACGCACAAATTCCACCTGCGCTTTCTACAATTTTTTAAACAACAAACTAAAAGACTCAAGGTCCATCCCACCCCTGAAAGGACCTAATGGTAAAGACTGCAGTGATGACACCATTAAAGCCAACATCTTTAACACATTCTTCGGCTCAGTATTTGTAAACAGCAATGGATCATGCCCAGTATTTCCTAGCCACAGATAACAACAATGATCTAATACATATCGATTTTACAGAAGACAATGTTGAAAAAGCACTACGCAATCTAAAACCATCTCTATCTATTGGACCGGATGGAATATGTGCCTACTTCTTAAAAAAGCTATCCACTGCCATAGCCAAACCTCTAAGCATAATCTTTGAAAAATCTTTCAGGACCAGCTCCTTGCCTAACCTATGGTCACAAGCCACAGTCATCCCCATCTTCAAAAAGGGAGACCCAAGCCTAGTTGAAAATTACAGACCAATCTCCTTATGCTGCGTCACCTGTAAAGTCATGGAATCAATTATTAACCAATCCATCATCCTCCACTTAGAGACAAATAACCTACTCTCCAATAAACAATTTGGTTTCAGGAAAAAACGATCGTGTAATCTGCAACTCTTACACTGCAAAAACATATGGACTACACAACTTGATCAGGGCAAAGCAATAGACGCAATCTACATAGACTTCTGTAAAGCCTTTGATTCAGTGGTATACGACAAACTACTCCTAAAACTAAAATCTTACAGTATCTCTGGACACCTGCATAACTGGATAGAAGCATTCCTGTCAAACAGACAACAAATGGTCACAATTAGGAGCGTGTTATCAAATTCTGTACCTGTCAACAGTGGTGTCCCCCAAGGCAGAGTTCTAGGACCAACTCTTTTCATACTCTACATAAATGACCTCTGTGATCATATCAAGAGCAACTGCGTTCTCTTTGCTGATGATGTAAAGCTATTCAACATCACAGGCAATACTGCTACCCTTCAAAAAGACCTTGACTATGTATCAGAATGGTCAAACAAATGGCAACTTCAAATCTCAACAAATAAATGCGCTGTCTTACATATTGGCAAAAAAAAAATCAGGAAATAAAATACAGGCTGAATAGTCAAGACCTTGTTTATGATCCAAACTCTGTCAAGGATCTTGGAGTGCTCATCTCTAATGACCTAAGTGCTACAGCCCACTAACTACATAGCCAAAAAGGCATTAAGAGTTGTTAACCTAATCTTATGTAGCTTTTTCTCTGGTAATATTACACTAATAACTAGAGCATACAAAACATTTGCTAGACCAATACTCAAATACAGCTCATCAGTCTGGAACCCACATTACGTATCTGATATTAACACAGTTGAGAAAGTCCAGAAATATTTCACAAGAAGAGTTCTCCACTCCTCTACTCGTTGCACAATACCTTATGCCACCAGACTCGAAATTCTAGACCTAGAAAACCTAGAACTATGCCGACTTCGGTCCAATCTAAGTATAGTATATAAAATCATACATTGCAATGTCCTACCTATCAATGAATACTTCAGCTTCAACCATAGCAACACAAGAGCAAACAATAGATACAAACTCAAGGTTAATCGCACCAAATTTGATTGCAGGAAATACGACTTCAGCAACAGAGTGGTCAATGTCTGGAATACTCTACCTGATTCTGTGGTTTCTTCCCCAAACCCCAAAAACTTTAACCTTAGACTGTCTACTATTGACCTCACCCCTTTCCTAAGAGGTCTGTAGGGGGCATGCATAAGCGCACCAATGTGCCTACCATCCCTGTCCTATTGTTTCTTTTATTTTTTTTATTTTTCTTATGTGTATCCATGTATTCATAACTATGTTTTTACTTATATCTATTATCTTGTAAGCAATTGACAAAAATAAATAAATAAATAAATAAATAAATAAATAAATAAATAAATAAATAAATAAATAAATAAATATCTTGGTGAGGTGAGGTATCAATATATCTTTATCCCTGATGAATTAAGTGATGCTCCTGATGCTCTATCCCAATGTCTGGAGATCATGGGGAATAACAGGCTTCAGCTGAACTCTGGCAACACTGAGTGCATTTTAAATAATGAATTAAGAATCAAGTCACAAAAGAAATATATGAAAGAAAAGTGTGTGAGTGGCAAAAAAGGAAGCTTCCAAAAATACACAGCTGAATGGAGTTAATAAGTAAGGTGAGAAACTAGGCAATGTAGAAAGTGGTAAGGAACAAAAAATGGTTTTCAGAGAGATAGGGAGATGTGGTGTTTGAAGGGTAAGGCATCAGGCTAGAAATCAGAAAACCCTGAGTTCTAGTCCCACCTTAGGCATGAAGCCAACTTTCTCAGCCCTAGGAGGGAGGCAATGACAAAGGACTTCCAAAGTAAAGGGACTAGCCCAGGAATCAACGCTGACCACACCCCGCCAAACAAAACTGGACACACAGGACTAATGGTATTATTGTATACGCAGGGGTCTTCAAACTTGACAGCTTTAAGACTTGTGGACTTCAACTCCCAGAATTCCTCCACCAGCCAGCTTAGTTCAGGAATTCTGGGAGTTGAAGTCCACAAGTCTTCAAACTTGCCAAGTTTGAAGACCCTTGTTGTGTAGACTTAGCAAGTTTCCCCTTTTGGATTTTTCAAACCCCTTTTCTGCGCTTTGCATAACCGTCTCCTGCCAGGGGATACAGTGGTGTGCCTCCCACGTGTGCGAACGTACGTTTTCGAGCCCCGTTTGCGCAGGGCAAAAGGAAGCGATTTCCTTCCCACCCACCCCATTTCCCCGCACAGCATACGGCGGCTACGAAGAACACGCCCTCTAGAGGGCGCTGCCAGAAGTCCCGTGGCTTTCACCTGCTTTGCATCTATGATTATTTTTATTTTTATTATTATTTTTTTAAACTTCATCCTTCCTTTCGGAGCAAAGGGTCTCCGGCTTTCGCTTGCCCAGCAGCGCAAGATTGCGGGCGGCAGAGAACGAAAGCGGCGCAGGAGCCGGGCGAGGCCCTGTCCACTTTCTTCTGAGCAGCCCGTGGAAAAGAAGCGGGGTGAGTGCCGCGGCCGGGAAAGGCGGGGAATCCGCGCGAAGGCGGGTCCTGACGTTGTGGGATGCCCGAGCCGTGCAGGAGCCGCGATCTTCTGCCTCTTCCCGGTCCAAGGAAGCAGGAAGAAACATTGCATCTGTTTCTCTTGTGGGGGGGGGGGGGGTTTTCCGGGGGGCGTCAGGGGGGTGGGGGGTTCTTCGAAGGCTCTTCGGGCCTTCGGCTGGATGCGGAGCTGGGGATGCAAGGCTGCTGGCGACGCTTTGCGCTCTGAAGCGCCGCCTGCTCGGCTGAGCAAAAGTGCGCCGCAGGCCTAGAGGTGCTTCCTAGGAGCAGGAGGGTCAAGCAGGGAGGACCCGGGGAGAAGGACGAGCCTCCAGGCGAGAGATTGCCGCAAAGCAGAACGTAACTCTCCACCTCTTCTTCCCTCCGAGCTTTGCGGTGCATCGCCGGGGCTAAAAACCTGGCCCTCGTCCTTTAAAGATAGATATTGTAAGTTGGGAACTGCGGGGTGTCAGTTATTCCGGATTAATGTGCGTATGACCCGGGGCGTGAAATTTAGAAGGGGTGTCCGTGTTTTCCTAACGGACTTACGGTCATTTCCCCCCTCTTAGCGATGGTACTGTTAACAATGACAAATGTTCGAGGTGAGTTATAAATGTCCATTGGCGGTGGTTTTAACTTGGTCCTTATTTCTTGTGCCTTATAATGTTGGGCTGCACGAAGTACTGCTGCCTTTTCTTGGGAGTAACAAAAACCAATTTAAAACTAGCACCGGAAAGTGTAAGGGTTGCTCCGATAACGTTGCGATAACTAAAAAACCCTTTAGTTTTAACTGTCCACAGCAAGACGGGTTATCACAAGTATTAAGTGTTCTGTTGCCAGAGTTAACATTTGTTTCACCTGAATTTAATTTATATATATATGTGTGTGTGTTTGCACAACAGGAAGCATATGAGATGGGATCTTATTGGGTTGCATGAATCTAGCCAGTTTAGCTTTAACTTAAGTTTCATTGTGTTTTGCCAATTCGTGTATTTGCATGGAGTTTGTTAGTAGATAGTTTAATTATGTTTTGTCAAAATCTAACTTACGATATAGCTTTAGAACATTGGCAACTTCCAGATCTATGCACCTCAACTCTCAGAATTGTCAGCAGTAGACATACTGGTTGGGGAATTCAGGGAGTTCAAGTTCATGTATCTGGAAGTTAGTAAAGTATTTGCATTAGTTTAAGGTGGATTTTTTAGGAATATGGTTCTAGAATTGTTCCGTTAAAGATTAAACTATTATTAAATCTGACTGTGTTCACACTATAAATATAAAGTACTGTTTCAGCTTAGGTATCAGAAAATGAAGCTTTTCTGAACCTCCTTTACCTAACAATTAATCATTGTTTCTCCTACGCAAATATGAATACCATGTGTTATCCAGGACACACAAAAAAGTACATAGCATAGGAGTGGCTTTAGGTGGCTTCTACCCTAATTTGGATAGTCCAGAGATATTTGACTTTCACTTTCATAATTATCAAAAATGACTTCATCAGTTTAATCTATCAGTCACAACTCTTCATGTTCCATTGCAGATTTAATTTGGGGATAGCTGAGGAACAGGAAGACAGAATAAAAGGAGAGAGAGAAAAAAGCAAAGAATTACTTTCGTAGTTGGTTTCCCTCTAAATAAGCAACAATACACAAAAGTAACAGTAGTTGCAAAGTGACAAGAATGAAGCAGTTAAATACCTCATGCAGTTGTAAATTAACATTGTTTGGTTTCCAGAGGTAGAGTCTCAGTTGAGATTTATTCTTGGTGTTTTGTTATCAGTGTGGTTTTTATTGGTAGCGGTAGGGAAGTGGTTTGCCCTTAGTACCTTCTGAGATTTTTTTTGGGGGGGGGGGGGGAGTTTTGTGCCTTGGTATTCCTTGATGGCCTTATATTAAAGTAAGAACCAATCCTATCCTAGTTTTGCTATTTACTGTGAAAGAGAATAAAGAAACAAATAGAATCGCCATCCCCTTCAAATTTAGATGCCAACTTAATGATTTGTCAAAATGACCTGCCTGTTTAATACACTCTTTAGCTCCTGTATATTTCATGATTTGAGAGAATCTGGTTGAGTTCACAAAAGACACTAAGCTAAAATTAAACCATGTGGTAAAAAGAATGGGATATATAAACTCAATCAGCTGTTTATTTAATTAGCCATGGTTAAATGAATGTATAATTAAGTTGTTTAGAGACAAATTTCCCAAACACATGGTGGCATTTGGGCCAGTAACAACTGGAATAATTTGTTTAACAAAATAGCTTTTATGTTTGATACAGTAAAGTTCAAATAGGACTTCTTAAGAATCTGTCTTAGGTCAAGTTGATTTTCTCTGTAACCTTGCTACAGGCAAACCAAGACTAGGATGTGCGGTAAATGATTTACTATGATAAAAGGTCAGAGGAGTGCAGTACAAGAAGTTAACACGGAAGACTCTAAATTCTTTTGTGTGTAGCAGGCCCAATGGATTGTTTACTCCAAGAAAGCAAGAGGATTCTTGTATTATGTGCAGTGGGATTATTACTGTTCACAAGGCTGGCAATTGCATGTGAGAAACATTTATTGCCTGGAGTTGCCAGTTGGTTGCCTGGAGGAACTGCAGCATACTTCAGTGATTTTGTTGTTGTTTTTGTTGTTGTTGTTATACAGGTAGTCCTCGACTTAACAATAGTTCATTTAGTGATAGTTCAAAGTTACAACATCACTGAAAAATGTGACATGATCATTTTTCATAGATACAACCTTCGTAGCATTCCCATGATCATGTGATCAACATTCGGATGCTTGGCAGCTGGTTCATATTTGTGACCTTTGCTGTGTCCCAGGGTTGTGTGATCTCCTTTTCCAATCTTCTGACAAGCAAAGACAATGGGGAAGCCAGATTCACTTAATAGCCAAGTTACTAACTTTTCAAGCACAACGATTCACTTAACAACTGTGGCAAGAAAAGATGTAAAATAGGAAAAAAATTCACTTCACAAATGTCTCACTTAACAACAGAAATTTTGGGCTCAATTGTGGTCATAAGTCGAGGACTACCTGTATTAATTTGCTAATTGTGTTCATGGACTTAGTGAAGCATCATTTCATCTGTGCTTGGCAGTTGTGGTTATTGTTGAACCTAGTTCTCCAGCAGCAGGACGCATTGTTGTCCTGTCTAAAACGCCACCAAGAAAATTAAAGGGCAAAGGGAGGAAAATGACTGCAGGAGTAACCAGTGAAACAAAAAGTGGTGATTAAAAGCAGCATGTCTTTTGTTGCATTACAATGGAATATGGGAGCTATAGCAGGGAATTGAAGGAAGAAAAGAATGAGGCAATATGCTTGGGGTTTCTTTTTATGGGAAACCATTCTGAGTATTATAGGCCCTTCATTAAAGCTGAGCAATATTTTTCAAGCTTCCATACAATCCTGAAGATGATGCTCCTTTCAGAATTGCACTTATTTGACTGGGGGGAATCTTAAAGAAATATATGCTGGCTTTTGAATAGGAGAGAGATGTGGTGTTCGCATGATCCCTAAAACACTTTTTTCATATCGTTTTTGTGGTTCTTAATCCAGCTGTTCCCTTTATTGCCAGAGATCAGATTGAAAAGCACAAAACTATATTAAACTTAGAGCAGCTTTTAGCTAACTTTTCTGCTCTAGAGAATAGACAACACTTAGAACCAGTGTTATCTCTATGCCTTTTTGTTCCTCCTGTAAATTATAACTTTAATTAGAAATTGGAGAAGAATCTTATTTGCCTCTCTAGCAAGAATAAGTTCCATGTCCAAAAACGAGCGACTGTAGACTGGGTATGTCTGAGCCTGCCTGGTAAGAAAAGTTGGCTAAGAGGCTAGTGGTAACAATAGCCAACAGGACTGGGCAGGTTCATAGCAGATTAGGCTATTAGTAGGTAGGAATTTTGATGGCTGCTTATTAAATGAGGAGAGAGAGGTGGTCTGAGGGATCACTTCTCTCCCTTCATTACTTTCTATCTCTCAGAGTCTGATAGAACAGATATTCTTCATGTCCCATCCATTAAGCAATGTTCTCTGATGAGCAGGGTCTACTCTATGACAATTCACTACAGCCCACTCACCACACTTACTTGCTGCGACCAACTCCGTGCGGGACAATTCGCTCTGGCCAACTTGCTATGGGACAAGCCACTGCAAAGCAAGACTTATGCTAATATATCAAAGAAGTGGTGGAATAGAATAATTAAATAAAGGATGCAAAAGGAGGGACATAATGAAATGTGAATGACAAAAATTAAAATATTTTTAATTTATTTTAAATAATTAATGTGAATTGTCTAATTGTCCCACGGTGAGTTGTCCTACAGCGAGTTGGTCGTGGTGAGTTGGCTGTGGCGAGTTGTCCCATTCTGTTGTAAACATGCCTTTCCTTTGAAAACCCTCTTGTCCTCCCAGTCATCAGCATCATGCCTTAAATGCTATTTGCTGGGAACCAATAAAGGAAGATACCACACACTAGTCCAGACAAGCAAGTTTCCCAATTGAAAACAAATTGACCATTATATTAGTTAGAATGCTGGACTTAGATGATGTTTTTATGTCATCTAAAGTATTGGAATATTGGAATATTCATCTTCTGAATAAACACATCAGAATTATATCTGTGTCCAAACAGTATCAAAACATGCTGACTATATTATTTTTTCTTTAAAATCTGTTAAGGTTTTTTAAAAGCAGTTCATTAGCAATAATTTCAAATATTGTGTTCGCTTAGTTTGCCATTTGAGTAGTAGACTAGGCACAAATTCTATTTTTGGTTTGTGCCTCTCCAGTATAACTTTGTATTCAATTTCTACCATTAATTCAGTTTTGAGGGGGAAAACCAATAGTGAAATAACAACCAGAGTGTTGGAAAGAATCTCTACATAAGACCAAGAGGCAGAACATCAAGGCTTCCATCAACTAGAATTGTTGAATGGGCAGCGGCTGTGAACAAAATAATACATTTTATATTACATTCACTTTTCATTGCCTTCAGTCAACAAGCTATATTATCCAGGATTGACAGTTTTCCCCCCAACAGGAACTCTCTGCAAATAAAGAGAAAAAGGAACAGCCAAGTGAATTATGTATCTGTAAATGAATTATCAAGTAAACAGTCAATAGAGGAAAAATTGGCGTACTCAGCCCTGGCATAATGTGGTAAATCATGCTACACAAATTACCTTCCTAGTGCAACCCAATATTATTTTGAATAAAACCTTTCAGGAAACTTAAAGATCTAGAATTCTGTGAAATTCCTTGGCAACATTGGTCTCGCTGTCATAACTTGATGCAATGGTAATTTATCAGTTTCCATTATTAATGGCTTTAGTTTTTCATTGCACTGATGTATGAAGGGCTCATTGTAGTCTCCATGGTGATTTTGTACAATTGTATCATCGTACAAAATTAGTTGCCAACATGCAGCGACATTTTTCTACCAAATAAATAATGAAATAGGAATAACATTTGAAAAAATATTTTATACACACACATACATTCAGTGATAGACACAATTTGCTAAATGGGCTAATTCTCATGGCATTTCCTATTCTTTTGTATGTGTGGCAAAGAGTTCGGTCATATAAATATAAAATAGACTCAGCAGATTATTTCATTACTGCCAGTAATTTATTACTGAGTGCCCTCATAGAAGATATGTCTTTTCCCTTTTAACCATCTGTGAATTATTCTGAACAAAAATATGGATTATTATGACATTTCAAGGACTCAGAAATTTATTCAAGAAAGGGGAAGAAAAATGTTCTAGCTTAAGACTAAACCCTTATTTATTTAGAATTTAAGATCCTATTGCAGAGATTAGTTATTTCTTTATACAGAGGTTCTCAAACTGTAGTTGTTGACCAGAGTCCCAAGCAAATTAAAGAGGGGGCTGCACTATCTTTTAAAATGTTGCTTCAGGCATGGGATTCAGGCTTGGATTGTAAGTGGCGCTAAATTTACAAACCAGTAGTCCACCTGCTTACATTTCTTAATAGTGCTGCAAGACTTCTCTGTGTTGAGGTCCTTAAATTACAGCATATAAATCTGAAAGGAATATTTGTATGCTGTCATGTTTATTTAGTTTAGAAAATATTTACATTTAGGCATTGAAATCTGGTCTATTAAAAAAAAAGGTTACTAAGGTTTTTGTAATTTGATTTTATTGAAACCTAACACATTTGTGAGTAGAAATGGGTTGACCCCATTGAGATGGACCAGAGTCTCATTTCTACATACTGTAATACTTTTGATATCTGTTGATCATGTGGCAAACTATTGCCACATATTGGCAATCCACTTGATGTCTTAAAACTAAGTACATGGCCCCAGCACCTCTGTGAAGGTGTTAGTGTTGTAATATATCTGTTGTCTGCAGACACACGTGTTAATGAGAGTCAGTGTTTTTCTTTGTTTTCCTTTCTAAAATTGTATCATTCTATTTCCTTGAGGAAAAACTAGGAAAGTTTGAAAAAGCACCTTTGTGACAACCATGACCTGGATGACTGAGAATCTCCTTAGAAAACTGTATGCAATATATTTCTTGCCAAACTCTAGCCCAATGAAATAATATCTTTTATTCATGGGAAGGACAGTTCCTATGCAACCATATATGATTTGTCATGTTAGAGGGTCACATTATCCCAGAATTCGAAGAGACTACCACCTCTTTTAACAATAAGGCGTATCAGAAGCAAATGAATTGTTAGATTTTCCCTACGGTACATTCAGATCATTAAAATGTATTTAGGGTGTATTGCACTCTCCAAGGAGTATATTTTAAAATATGGACATCAGATTTTCTATTTTGGAGGTGCAGTATAAAATGTTTGAGGATTCATTGACCCATATGATATGGTCATGGGATAAATTGATATCTTTTTGGAATAATGTATTAATATGTATAAGCAAATTTATAGGAAACTCTCTAAATGTTAAGGATGTTAATATGAGATTGAACTATTTACCAAAATGTTGGAATTTGTTTATCAAGAATTATGGGTATGTCACATGGGGGAGCTAGAAGAATCATATTGAGAAATTGGAAAAGTGATATTATTTAAAATGTTAAGCAATGTTTGTCAGAAATACATGATCTATATGGTTTGAAAAATCCAGTATTCCTTACTAATCAGAAGATGCTGTAATATTTGTTGTTAAGGTAGATCTATTTTGTAATATATATTTATTAGAAGTCCAATGACTATTACAAATATTTATAAGGAATGTTTTTCGTTTTTCTCCTAATTTATCTGAAGTTGTATTTTTTTTTTTACTTTCTTTTTGGTTCAGTCTCTATTTAAAAAGGTAAAAGTTTAAAAAATATTTTTATCCTGCATGTTAGAAATGTAAAAATAAACCTATGAAAATACAAGCAATTTCAGGGCATCCATCAGCTGATTGATTGATGTATCATCAAGTCATTTTGAGTCCTAGGCACCACATAGATAGATGTTCTCCGTGACAATTTATCCCTAACCTGTTCTTTCAAGTTTCCCAAGGATGCACATGTTGCCTTTGTTCATCCACCTTACTCCTAGTCAACCTCTTCTCTTTCCTTCCAATTGGAAAAGAGTTAATTCAGCACAATTCTAGTGGTTTTCTTTTGCAGAAGGAATGAAAGAGGAACCAGAACCAGTCCTAAGTAAATAGATGCATCAGAAGGCAAAGCCAGGAATAAGCAACTGCTTATCAGTTTGTCCAAGTCATACAGATCCTTAGTGCTACCTATAAAACAGACCTTTGCCTCTTCTGTTTTTCCAACTCCTATAGTAGTTGCATACAAAGAGCAACAACTTCCTTCTATCATGAAACCCTTTCTTTATCAAAATTATGCCTAAGGTGATTCTTGGAAACCATTGCATACGACCAATAACAGTGAAAACAGAAGTAGACCCAGGAAGACACAGAGGTTGATAAATCTAAACCACATAATTCCTTACATAAGCAAGAAAAGGGGCCCTCCAAACAATTAACAACATCTATATTCAACTGATAGAGTCAGAAATTGGGTCTTGAGTCTCATTAGATTATAAAGTGGGTTTTTTTTGGTCCAGAGCAGATTTTTGGGATTGTTAAGGGGATTAGAATTTTTGGGCTCCATTAATCAGAAATAAATAAGCAGGCCATCCAGCCAACCATTGTGTTGTATACCCACTGAATTGTGAGTTTATCATACTCTTCCAGAATATCATCATTTTCTTTCCCTCCTCTTTCAACAGTACTGTTTACCAGCCTGTCAGACAGCCCTTCAGAGCAGCACCAGATTCTCTGCTTAGTCATATAAGCATTTACTTCAGCTGCATATTACCTTGAGTAGATCTACATGGGTTTGGGCAGATAAGCAAATCACTCCCAAACATCTATTTCTGCCAAAAAATCAAAATGGCCATTACTTTTAAAAAAAACAGCCCAAAATTGCTGAAAGAAAGGCTAAAACTGAGTGGACTTCAGATATAAATGTCTCTAATTTAAGCTGTAATTGGGAGAAAGCAGGTATCAGAAATGGGACCATGGCTCATCTACTCTTTAGAGGCCAAGAAAGCAAAGAATTGCACTATGTTTAATTTAATAATAAACACTTATAGAAAAAAATCTATTGTTTTATACCAAGCATAATACATAAGACTTCCTCAATATCTGTAATTATTGAGTTCATAAGACCTGAACACCCTAATTTTACAAAAACAACACCCTGCATGGAATTGCCTCTTTAAAGGCACTATAATAATACTTAGGTTCTTGGTTAGGACTTGAAGTATTAAGTTTTAATAATAAGTCTTACATTTTATATAAAGCCTAATGTACAAATATATGACTAAATCATTACTTTATACTTATATTTTATTTATAAATATGTTCTCTTATTGCACAACTTCATCAGATATAGACATATTTATTTATGATATCAATTTGCCAATCTCAGAATTGAAGGTATGGGTATTGCATATATAGATATATTACCTATCTGTTGACATCCAACACTGTTTCAGCAATTATCATTTTATTATGTTTATTTCTTTTATATGGTGTTTTTATATCCTTGTAAGATGCCTTGAGTATCCATGTGCGAGTAGGCGGAAATATAAATTTTCTAAATAAATAAATCAATTCAAACCATTGCAAGTATTTTTTAAGAAGTTCTCATTTCCAATCTGCTTTTCAGGAGCTGTTTTTGCTGTATATCTATGAGAATAATGGGAATGATAGTGTCAAAAATTAAGTTAAGGATTGATGTTTGTGGAGGAAGGAGTGATTGCGGGGGGGGGGATTGCTTTTCTAAGAAAATGAGGCAGACTTTTGAGTGATGAAAACGAGAGTTGGGCTTGTGATCCTGGAACAGTTATAAGGACTATTTTGTCTGTCCCATAACCTTTTTCAGGTTAACTCAGTTCTACCAAAGCACGCACCAGCATGGCTTCATGGAATGGCAGAAACCCAGCAGACAGGAGAAGAACAGGAGAAAGGCGCAGATCATCTCAAGAAACATCAGGTAAACAGGATTGCAGCTCTTCCATTGACTCTGATGACGAATAACCAGTTGGCAAGCTTCTTAAGTAGCATGGCAGTAGCAACAGCTTTTGCTAAGAATAAAGCTCTATCATATTTTAATGCTTTTTGTAGGAATTTATGTAGCAAGATCAGCTCGGATCAGAAGAACAAATAGATCATGGCATAGAGTACATCAAACACGCCTGCCAATGCCAGCTCAGAAGCACCAAGATTTAAGCAGAAGGTGGATTAATATATAGGAAGGGGAGCAACCCTTCACTTCTTGCAGTAAATTATCTCTGAATATACTAAGAGTTACAATCTTCACCTCCTGCTTCCAGTGTGCCCCATCCCAAATCTAAAATCTAACACCTAATATTGATATATGGGGAGGTTCAAATTTGGAGCAAGTTTGTTTAGGATTTTTGAATTCAGATTTTGAGCAGGCATGTTTAGGACTTTCTGTCTTTCTTTCTTTGAATTAATAAGTGTGTGGTGATTGCTTTTCCAATTATTTAATTCTCAAATTTTAAAAAAGCTACATCCAAACCTTTTGCTTAAGTGGAGAAAGCACTTTCCTCTCTCTTTTTGCTTCTGGTTTCTTACTCCGACAAGAAAAGTTGGCAGCAATGGAGGCCAAGAATTTGTTACATCTCTGGCTCCTGGTAGAGTTGGATTGACAACCCCACATACCCCATTATCCCTGTTACATGTCTCTTTGAAAGCCTTGGTCACAGAAAAGTCTTGTCCATGTTTTCTGCCCGCCAGGTGACTGATAATAAACATCCCTATTATTTGGAGGGCGCCAAAGTCAAGCCATTGCAAAGTGACTAACTGTATATATAATCAGTATTGCTTTTGTATCAAGGAGATAAAGGGGACTACTATATGAGTAATCATCAGGTAGAAATAATTCTTTGTGTTTTATTAGTGGCTGTCACTTTTCAACAATTTTTACTGGACATGATAAGCAGCTATAGGGGGCGGGTGTGGGGGGAATTCCACTGAGGTTTCATTCAGTTACCAGCATTTGATATATGGGAACCATAAAATGACATCTGCATCAGCTCTTGATAATGTGGAGTTGTTGGTGTCATGGTAGGAATAATCTATGTGCAGTATTTTATGACTGTGCCCAGGAATTATTGGCACCTCTTTCTTTCCCAGAAAAAAAAAATCATTATACTGCATTCTGATATGAAGGAGAAATGAATAAATATGTGGTATAATTTACTCATTTGACAAGCCTGCTTCCAAGGAGAGAATTTCAAAATTATTATTGGTAGATTGTTGGAAGCTCAGCTACAATTTTGAATAATTTCTTCATCTTGGCAGTCATATTTCAACATCATTCACCCATAGATGCAATAGTCATTAGAAAAAATTGATCAGTGTGTAAGCTCCGTCTTAAAATATGTCTCAGCAGGTAAATTTGTTTTCTGAGCATAGGGGACTTTTGTTCTTATTTGTGAATTACCAGGATATGAAACCTTTTAGATTGGGGCCAGGGGTTCTGCTGTGTCAGACTCTGCAGACGATTCAAGTTGTTTCCCGAAATAATTGTCAAATATTGTGCTAGGAGTGTTTTAACATCTCATTAAACTTGTTGTGGGTTCTTATTTCCTATCCCAGGAATGCAGTTGCCTAAGACTGTGCAAATATTAAATTTAAGCATAGTTTTGTCACTAACATACAAATAACACATGGGACATTATATTGTTCAGAATCAAGTCCAGGGTTACTTTGGATTATAATTTTACAAATTTCTGTCTTAGAAGAAAACTTAGTATGCTGCTATTATATATTCATTAATACATTAAACCACTTAAGACTGGCATTTGTATTCATCCAACCTATAGGCAGCTTCTTAAATTTTGTGGCAGGTTATAGGCTATTTGGATCAACTTTCCCATCCATATATCTTGTGTGCAGATTTAACAGAAAAAAATTGCTATGTACTCAATGCAAATCTCTTAAAACCGTGGAATTTTTAAGAAACTGTAGATAAAGTGCTTGCTATTAGCCTCAACCACATGGGGATAATAATCTTAACTGGATACCTTCTGTATAGATGCTGCGGTAAAATGTTAGTTACTAGGGTACTTGGCTCTTATGTCACTGCATAACCTTGAGATATGAGTTCTGCAGTATCATTTTGTATGCATTAATGCATAGAGTATGTTTTCATTGCCACCCCTTCATTTGCATCATCTGAATCTTCACAGTATATGACAGACAGACAGGCATCAATTTTATTTTAGTCATTGACCAATAAAAATATGTTTGGCAAAACAACGCAAAATTAACCCCTAACATCAATGACTACTAGCAACGATTTGTGAGCGAAGGCCCAAAGGTGCTTTTTCAAAAGGTGCTTTTTCATTGTTTTTCCTTACATTTCCATAGTTTTGCTCCAAATGTCTATGGAGATTCTCAGTCATCCAGGTCATAGTTGTCCCAAAGGTGGTTTTTCAAAAGTCCTTTCAAAAGCAAAACGTCTTCAAGGAAAAACAAAATCCAGTTGCCTTTTGACAAAGCACTTGTGGGACAACCATGACTTGGATGACTGTGAATCTCCATAGACATTTGGAAGCGAAGTTTACACATAATGGAGGAATTTTTTTTACTTTTAGAGAGATTTATCCTGTATATCCAACACATACCGCAAATAAAAATTATCAGAGGGTGCCTGAAATATAGATGAAAAAGAGGAAATCATCTGGCCGCAAATATGTACTAAAGAACACACCTGCTCAATGTATGATTATGAATAATTCCTAATCAATGAATGATAGTGGTGTTTTCAGTGACTTTGGGATCACATTGGCTTATTTACTGAATTTTTAAAAAGTAAATACACAGAATTAGTGCAAAATTAAAATAATTGTTGACATATTTGAGCATTGAGATCAAAATTAAGAATATATATATGAATATGCCCTTTTATATTCTGAAAATTTTGAATATTTAACTTTGTTTAAACAACTTGGATGACTCTCTTTGATCTGTTGGAAAAATAATTTTCCTTCCAAGATTGCCCCCTATTACCGTGTTTCTCACAAAATAAAGTCAGGCCTTTTTTTTTTTTTTGAACCCCGAAAAAACAGCTAGGATGTCTTTTTGGGGGTGAATTAATTTCTCCCCCCATCCCCCGTGCACCAGCACCGTCTCCAAAAACAGCATCTGAATCGCTCCCGCTTTTCCCCCGTCCCTGTAACAACAGGAAAAAAAAGATTCTGAGGTACCTGGGTGCGCTGCGCGCTGCGTTTTGGTTTAATCCCGAGCGGCCAGGTGGGCATGAGAAGAGCCGAGCAAGCATCTCTGCTGCTGCTACCCTTGGTGCTCCAGCCTCGGGCTCTGCAAGTTTGCAAAAGTCCCGGTGCGCAGCCTGTTCCTGCATTCCAAGCGCCCAGGCCGAGCTGCAGCTGTCCCTCTCTCATCAGCGCCATCTCCAACAACAGCGGCAGCAGCGGCGGGAACCGTGGAAACATTTCAGCCGCTTCTCGGGTGGGGGAGCCGCCTCCGTAACTTCCACGGTTCCCGCTGCTGCTGCTGTTATTGGAGACGACACTGGTGAGAGAGGGACAGCTGCAGCTCGGCCTGGGCGCTTGGAATGCAGGAATGGGCTGCGCACCGGGACTTTTGCAAACTTGCAGAGCCCGAGGCTGGAGCACCAAGGGTAGCAGCACAGAGACATTTGCTTGGCTCTTCTCACACCCACCCAGCCACTCTGGATTAAACCAAAACACAGTGCGCGACGCTCCCAGGTACCTCAAAATGTTTTTTTTTCCTGTTGTTACGGGGATGGGGGGAAAATGGGAGCGACTCAGACACTGTTGTTGGAGACAACACTGGCGAGAGAGGCGCCAGCACCGGTGGGAACCATGGAAGCTACGGAAGCCTGAGAAGCGGCTGAAACACTGCCGGACATCCACGCCGACACCACCCACCTGCTGACCCGGGTAAGGGAGGGGTAAGGGAGCCCTCTGTGCTCCACCATGATTGGCTGTTAGGAGCGGCTGATGGCAAGGCGTAGCTGCCCGCGGGGCACTTCTAATGGCAAGTTTCCCCCCCCACCTCCCCCCCCCCCCATTTTGTATGTTTTAAACTAGGCCTAAATTTGGGGGAAGGGGCTTAATTTCATTTTATGCCTAGAAAACATGCTGGGTCTTCCTATGGGGGGGGCATATTGTTGGAGAAACATGGTAAATTATACATTCCAATGCACCTATACCAATATACTTTATATTTTAATCTTTGTATAAACAATTGTGATTTTGTGTCCTTAAATATCCTGGACTCCAGCTAGAGTCACTTGGTTGAGTTGGGCAGCTTTAGAAATTGATTGAATGAATGAATGAATGAATGAATGAATGAATGAATGAATATCTAGCATATTTAACTTACATAGCCTTGTTCCAAAGCAGACTTAATTATATGATATGGAGAAAAATACATTGCATGATCAGGATTTTTAGATAATGTCACATAATTTGCTCTAGCACTCTAATTCAGTTATTGTTTTTTATCCTTTTAAGTTTTACAGGTGGAAAAACAAATGACTAATTATAAAATGTAAATATACAAAAGTTTGTTAGCAATGTGCGATATTTTACAAAACTAGAGAAGTAATTCTGGTACAAATTAGGAATCATTTCATTATATTCCAGCAACCACATTTCTTTACTGTTTGTGCTACAATAACCATATCCTCCTTTAATCCTGCTGTATGAGCTAACATTGACTTCCTGCACATGAGATACTTATTTATCACTCCTCTTATTATTCATCACTGTTTGCTTATGGGACAACATTTTGTAGTTTAAGGAGATTAATGCAAGAAAGACTATCAAGGAGGAAACTACCAGTTTTATTTGAAATTTGTTAGTGAATTACAGTAGAACAATTTCAAATGGCCGTATGAGACAAGAAGAATAGGCTATTAATATCCAAACTTGAAAGCCTATTTAAAAGCACGTTTAAAAAGGCCATTATATAATG